GTTGTGCCTACAAAACGTCGTGTTGCAGGGCCACGTGCAGTCAGCTTTGCAGCCCCACAAGGCCCTACAGTGCCAAGTGCGTTGGTGGATGAGGATGCTGAAGCTGTCAAACAAAAGGCAGCTGAAGAGAAGAAAGAGGAGGCAGAGACATCTGCCATGGCTGGCCATGACAAGCCGACCCATGTCAGTCGTGATGTGGAATTTGCAGATGAGACGGTTTTCAATGAGGACATGGCCAAGCATCCAGCACCATCAACTCCAGCACCTGAACTTCCAGCATCAGCAGTGGCAATGGGCTCAACAGATACTGCAATGCCTGATGATCCAGGTTTGGCAGCACCAGTGACTCCAGTTGATGTTACAAACATTGGTGGAACTATGAACCCCAGGCACGTGTCAACAACCAGAGCACACGAGCGTGAAACTGAGGAGGAGCTGAATGCAAAGAAAGCACGTGTGGCCGACAGCAAGAAGCAGAGAATCAATGCAATCACTTCTCAACATGCTCAGATGATCAGAATGGTCAAATTTGGAACTGAAGAATACTACACCATGGACAGCTACGACAGTGACTTGAAGCAAGATGAGTTCCACGACGATGACAATGATCTCTGGGCAGGTGAGGCAGAAGTTTTGGTTGCAGGCGTTCCAGAAGCGCTTTGGCATGACAGCAGTCTGGATGAGCCACCACCGACTCCAGAACAATGGGTGGAGGACTTAGCTGACAAGGTTGAGATTTCACGACTGCTGGACATGGGTGTTCCCAAGCGCTTTACAGACTATGATGGTGAAATCAGTGGGCGCTTACAACACGTTTTGTCAGAGATTGGAGGCAGAAACTTTACATTGGTGAAGGAGATTCTCGAATGCGTTGGATGAGGAGAAGCAGGTACGTGGCAAGAGAATTTGCCAATGAGAAAAGAGATGATGTTTTTGCCCCGGCAACAGGAGCTCACTCGAACAACTTGCTTTTGGCCAGTTTTCTTCAGATGGCTGACGCTGCAAAGGATGGATGTGTTTCTTACAAACCCTTGCTGGCTTCAATGGACATCGGTGATGCGTTTCTGCAGGTTGACCAAGAGCACCCAGTCAAATGTGAACTACAGGGATGCGAGTATGTCATCCTCAAGAACCTTCCTGGACAAAGACTGGGAGCGCGATCTTGGTACTGGTACTTCAGAAACTACTTGGAGGAAAAGTTTCAGTACGAGTTTTGCGATGTTCAGCCGTGCTTGGGTAGAACAAAGGATTCAGTGATTCTCATCCATGTGGACGACATCCTTTACACTGGCAGTGCAGAATTCTTTGAGAAACAACTTTTACCAGTTTGCCAAGAACGTTTCTCTGTCAAATGGAGTGCACTGCAAGAGCATGGCAGTACGATCACGTTCCTGAAGAAAAAGATATCTCTGGTTACAAATGGCCTCATGGTAGTCCCTGGTACACAAGTTCACAAGGTGGTTGAAGTCTTCGAGAACCATTTTGGTGCAGTGCGTGGACAGCTGATTCCGTGTGATGCCTCAATCCAACTTGAGGACGTATCAGCTGAACTGACTTCAACAGATGCTGCAGTTTTCAGAAGGGTTGTGGGTATGTGCTTGTATTTGAGTCGGGATCGCCCTGGCATCATTTTTCCTGTCAAAGAAGTTTCAGGCAAGATGTCACGTCCAACTTTGACAAGCCTTCAACATTTGAGGAAGTTGATTGGCTATCTCAAGAAGATGGGCGACCTGAGAATTTTGCTGCAGTACCCTCAACCAGGAGTTGGAAAATGGCGCACTTCAACAGAGAAGTACTGGATTTTGGAATCCTACAGTGATGCTGACTGAGCATCGAACAAAGCCCATCGAAAATCCACAAGCTGTGGAGTTCATCTTCTCAATGGGTGCTTCCTATTTGCATCATCGAGAACCCAGAGGGTTATTTCCTTGTCTTCCTGCGAGTCCGAATTGTACAGCATCGTGTCGACCATGAGCGATGCAATATTCATCAGGCGCTGCTTGGAGTTTGTGTTGGGAGTCGAAATCTCTCAGGTTCACTTTACAGATAGCAGCAGTGCACGACAGCTTTGCAATCGGCAGGGAGTGGGCAAGGTGAGACATTTGTCTGGAAAATTGCTTTGGGTTCAAACTCAGGTGCAAAATGGCTCAGTTGAGATGGTCCAGATGCCGACGGCTTACAATGTTGGTGACATAGGTACCAAAAACCTGGCAGAAAAAACTTTTCGCTTTGATGTCTGAACTTGGGATGGTTTCTGCAGAAAATGGTCAACCAATTGGCCAGGAGGAGCTTGAAGCACTACTTGAAAGCCATAGCAATTCACGTGATGTCACAAAACTGGCAAAGACGATTTTCAGGTTAGCAACAGTTTTGGGCCTTGGGCCAACTAGTTCAGCTGCACAAGGCCAATGTGAGAGCCACAATGTCAATAGCAATGACAATGAAACATTGTGGATTTGGTTTTCAATCTTTTTGCTGGCAGTGGCATGGATTGGTTTTGCGGTGGCTTGTTACAAGCTTTGTGTGAGAATGGACCAAAGGATGCAGCACAATGAGCTTCAGCAAGCAGAAACCGACACCTTCACTGGGCATCAAAGAGATCTGATAGATCAGCACCGTGCCAACCATCTTGATCTTCGAACGCAGTACAGTAACTTTGTGAGTCAGACAAATCAAGGACTTGCAACGTTGGAAGAGTACATGGACTGCATACATGATGGATTTGGTACATCATGGTGGGTTTGTGAGATACAGTGAACTCACCAGGCAGCAGAGATCAGACATGTTTGCCCAGGAAAGGTCAAACCAACTCTTGTTTCAAGCGCGTCAGGTGGCACCAGATACAACAGACGATTCTGGTCTTGGAGCTTATGCAGCAGAGGCATCAGGCTCAGCATTACCTCTGAATGCATTGGAGGACCACCAAATGGAACATGGAGAAGAAGAGGAACCGACATCGGATGCTGAAATCCTGGAAGATGAGACCAATAGCAGGGAAGGAGATTTAACAAGGATGATTAAGCATCTCAGAGACCAGGTGAATGAAGCTTTGGCTTTCGAGCACTACGAGGATGCCACAGACATCCAAAACTTTGACAGCTGTGCGCGAGGCAGCCAATTTCAGTCCTAATCTGACTCTGGACATTGCAAGAAGGGTCACTGGAACTTACCAAAGGCTTTACAGACGAGCCAGAAATCGAGGTGACCACGCTCTGTCAGGAGTCTACCAAGCGTTTGCAGAGGATCTACACAGGTTTCTGTAAGCGATGGACCAAAAGGTACAGTTCACAGATTTTCATTAAAGGAAATTTCATGTGAAACCAAACTTTTCAGATGAGTGGCCGATGAAAACGATCGACCATTGGTTTGCGTTTGGTTTGGAGGGTACCAGGTAACCCTTAATCCTGGGGAGATTGACAAAGCCACAAGGCCATTGGGATACCAGGCAATCCCAAAACCTGGTGGAAATCCAATGAGATTTTTTTTAGAGTTAAGCAACAGTCTGATGGACGAGAGTGTGAGTGGGACGCTCAGCAGAGCTAAAGCGCTCATCAGAGCGAGGAGGAGTGCGAAACAGTTCTGACTGCACTCACACCTTCAGTTTACATCAGTTTGCATGGCAGTTGCAGCAAGGATGACACGCACAAATCTCATTCAGGTCATTCCCATTTTCACCATGTCTACATGGAAAATCCATGTGAATCTACAAGCCCTTTACGGCTCAGTTCAAAAGGAGAGCGCTGTGCACCGTTTCCTTCACAGATAGTGACAGTTCTCTTCGAACTTTCAACTCTTGACGTTGTAGGAGGCATGCTTACAGGTCAGCCTGGGACAGTGAAGGTTGGGGCTCTATGATGCCTGTGGTTGGAGTGGGTGTCTAGGCCCTAGGCCCTAGGCCAAAATGATGTATTAGACAAGATTCACTGCAGGGGCTGCACTTTGGAATCCAATTCCCCTGACATTCAGATCCAACGAATTCGACGGATCTTGAATGATACAACACCAAAATGCAGTTCGATGTGCTATTCGCAGCGAATTTCCTCATTTTTCGCCTGATTTTCCCCATTTCTGTTGTTTAAGACACACCATGGAATCCTGCGGCCAGCTCTGATGCTCTTTTTGGCCTGTATGATGCTGGCGGACGGAATGGCAGAGCTGCCAAGGTGTGGTTTTTCGGGTTTTGGTTATTTTGGTTGATGGCATTGGTTGATTTTTGGCCATGGACATCTATGATATCCATGACATCCATGACATCCATGGATGCAGATGGATATTGGATATTGGATATTGGATATTGGATATTGGATATATGATATATGATATATGATATATGATATATGATATATGGTATATGGTATATGGTATATGGTATATGGTATATGATATATTTTGAGATAATGGGAACATGATATCCCAGTAAAAACCAGTATTTGGGATGAGGTAGCTATGGTTGCTATGAAATGCCATGCGAAAATGATCCCATTTTACAGTAACGGTGAACAAATTGGGATAACTTGGAGCATTCCTGAGATTTGAACCAATTGCATAGCGCAGTTGCTGTCCGTGGCCGCCGTGTCTGAGGTATGCCTTGGCCAGAGACCCAGTTGCAATAAGTCTTGTCAGATTAGCCCAGCACACCCAGAGGTTAACATTCGGCAATGAAGAAAGATAAGAAAGAGAACATTTCAACTACCAGCACCTTCACCATCAGATTTACTATCGCCATCACCATCATCAACATTAACATGATGCATGCATATGCATACTTTGTGCGTTGGGTGCAGGTTTTCTCCATGCTGTCCATGCTGTGCCCATTCTTCGAGATGGTGCTTGGCCCTTGGTTTCACTTTGAAGTGTGATGACTCAGTGACGACCTGACCTCAGGTTGGAGGCTGCAGCGGCTGCAGCGGCTGCAACATACTGTAGCGATGTTTTTCGCGTCATCTAGCGACCACATCACACTCGCAGCTCAAACCTTCAAGGAGAGTGTAGCCATATGTAGCCATAGGGTACCAAGTCTGCAACGTGCCATGGCACCTGACCGTTGATGTGTTTAGGTCGCTGGGTGCTGCTCTGGCAGCTTTTCCAAACTGGTTTCAGTTGGAAACCACTTGATGAACCCTCGAAACTTTCGGATCAATGGCTCTTCCTCAACAGCAATTTGTCCGCGAGGTCTCTGTCCAAATTGGTCCAGTTTCGACTGGCTGAAGCGGCTGCTGCTAGCTATGCGCTGGCCAATGGATCAGCAGAGGTGGATGAGAGCTTTTGCCTGAATGCAAGACTAAGATATCGATTAAGATATCAGATTCCGGAATCTGTTGATTTTGCCACGGAATGTTGCGATCTCTTGAGCTTTGACACATTTGGAAGTGATGTTTGTTTTGAGTCATGGCCCTCCTGGTCCATCCGAGTATGCTGTGCATATTTTGCGGGGCGCGGGCCAGCGGCCCAATTCACCGAACTCTTCTTTGATGAAACACCGTGGCGAGAACGAAAAGAGATGTCATATTTATCCAGAGGCATCGTGGCCTATCATAAATCTGGGATCACCCTATCTTCCCAGTTGGTGGGGTTGAGGGATCCAGGCCCATTAAGCCATTTGGTATTGGAGAGTGCTGGAGACTTATTCGTGCCCCAAAACTTGTCGCTGGAGAATCATGGCGTGCACGACAGTCCTAGGGGAGGCCAACCTGTGATCAGACCCTATTACCAGGCCTTTATTCGGAGGTTTGCTGATACCACTGGGCGTGGAATGTTCCTACATTTCTCCAATCCTTTGAAATCATGGAAGCCTCAGTTGCAGGACTTATTGGCAGAAGATGGTGCGGGTTTGGTGTTGCATCTGGTGAGAAGGCCTTCGGACATGATTGTCTCTGGCTATCGCTATCATGGTCAGCAGAGACCGGAGGGAGAAGAATGGCTATACTTTAGCAATCCCCCAGAATCTCGTTCGACATTTTTCGGATTTTGTTGAATTGTTTTGCCAGGTTTTCTGAAGCTGTTTTGGGTTTGAGATGGTTTGAGGAATGCGGGTCGGTGCACCACAAATTATAGCCATAGTAATTAAACTAGACTGGACTCAAATTTGGATTCATTAAACATCAAACGTAAAGCTTAGCAGGTCAACGAGTCTGACTGAGTCCTCTGTCATTCAACGCCCCCAAAACTGGGTGCCGTTTGGCTGCCTTAGGACTGCCTGAGTTGCGACCACCAAGCCTGGGCCCAGATCTTTGGGCGATGCGCCTTTCGCTGCAGCTACCATCAGTTGCTGCAGAACTTGAGCACTGCCGAGGGGCTGCAGATGGAATACCTCCGGAGCCGCTGGGATATCAGCAAGATGTTGCAAAATGCCATGAAATGGAAGGCTGGTGGCTGGGGCGGAATGGCTGAGAATTTTGTACCGAAAGAGATGAAAGATTGATGGTTGATGGTTGATGATGGTTGATGATGGTTGAATCGAGTTGAACCAGAACAACATTGAGTATTGGGATGTATTGGGATCAGATGTTACAAATTCACTCAGAATGAGGGCTTGCAGCATGCTTTCCAGTACAATGTTGCCACTTTCCAGCTTGGTTGCCGGAAGGATTTGGAGAATGTCTTGCAGCTGCCAATGGAGAGCTTCCAACTCCACTTCAACGACACGCTGCGGTGCATTGCGCGGTTCTTTCTGCGGGCACCTGGGATGGAAGGATCTGAAGGATCGGTTTTCGCGCAGAAAGTGAAGCGATTTGTGGAAGAGTCGCAGGTCCACTCACCCAAATTGATGGCGTCTTGCCGAGAAGCTTCGGAAAGAGGAGAGACTTGCCGCCTTCCCAATGGAACCGCAATGCCACGGAAATTGACTAGTCAGGCGCATTCTCATGTAGCCTCAAGGGTGCTAAAGCACTCGTTGAAAGCAGCTTTAGAGCAGACCAAGGGCTGGAAGCAGTTCATTCCGTTTGCAGACCTCACGTATGAAGCTGCGATTGACACTGCCAACACGCAGATGTTTGGGTGTCCCAAAGTTTGATCCCCATCCTGAAAGATCCGAGGATGGCCACTTTGCCACCTTGCCATGCTGTGTTCGAAAAATGTGGCACCACAAACTGTTCCAAACTATCATGCTTTCCCACGAAGTGATAGAAAAGATGGATTCAGATGGATTCAGATGGTGCTGTTTCCGCTTGCCGAGGCCACTTCTGTCTAGCATTGGTGGCTGGTCAGAGGCAGATCTTAAGCAGTGGCGGTGAGATTGACATTGAAAGAAGCCTTTGAACTTTGAAGCATGAAGGTGACAACATACTGTAACATACTGGAATATCAATGTCATACCTTCACTAGCACCATACATGTCTACTGTGAGTAGCGTTGGGTGTTTGGGAGGTTTCAGTGGAACCGGTGGATCGAACGACTTCGAAGAAGGAGCTTCGGATCACGTGACCCTGCATGCCCTGCATGTTGGCCACAGATATCCACAGATATCCACAGATACCCGGCTAATTGGGGTTGCATTTTTCTCGCCAACATTTGGAAACATGGGCCCCACGTGCCTCAGGTATACGACCATCATCAAGACTATGCCTTTCTTCGACCGCACCAAAAATTACATTTACAACGGAGCCGGATCCCTAGATATCGACTTCGCTGAAAAAAGTGGTGGCACAACTGGCACAACTCCGAATTCTCCAGTGGTTTAAGGATGTTTAAATTGGCAATGGGATCCCCAGAAAAATCCATCTGGATTTCGAAATCTCACCCGACCCGTCTGGTTGAAAACATGGTGAATCGTTCTGCGGCGTCAGCGAGGGGCTCTGGCTCGGAGCTGATTTGAGTTGGTGGTTTCCTCAAAATGGATGGTTTCTAAAGTTTCTAATGGAAAATCTTAGGAACATCTTATGAAAATCTGATGATTTAGGATTTTTTTTGGGTACGGTCCCGTTTTCGGAAACCTCCACATGGGGATGGTCCTTAAAATGAATAAACACTGGCATTTTAAGTCCCCAAAAGATTGGGACCACAACATGGCCATCAAATCATAGGGAAAATCATAGGGAAAATGATGGCATTTTTAACGGTGACGAACGAGGCTACACTGGGATGATTTGAATGACATAACCATCAGTGGGGTGGATAAAGTTCTATTGCGAAACTATTTGGTCGCAACTAGGATTGCGCAACTAGTATTTCGGGATGGGGTGGGATGGGGTGGGGTGGGGTGTGATAACGTGGGATCAAGCTGCGCACTTACGTGATGCCACGCTCGAGATGGGGTGGGGTGGGATAGGGTGTGATAACGTTGGATCAAGCTGCGCACTTACGTGATGCCACGCTCGAGATGGGGTGGGGTGGGGTGGGGTGATAACGTTGGATCACGCTGTTTAGTTTCAAAATGCAACTGTTCAGTTTCACAATACAATTGTTTAGTTTCAAAATACCTGTTGCAAAATACAACTGTTGAGTTTCAGAATACAACCGTTTAGTTTCAAAATAATACGTTGCCCGTGCTGACAGAGTGCGCTGCATTGGGACCTGCCCGTGATTTTGGGCGATTCTGCAAGTGCTATTTGTTACTGCGTGAATATGCGGTTGCATGGGCTCACGGACAGCATGAAGGAACTGGCCTTCCCCATGTGGTGGAGATTGATGATTCCGATGGCACGCAGTGACGCGTGTTTTACAAGCATCAGATGGATGTCGGAGTGCATCTCAAAAGGGGGTATGGAAATGCATGGATACTATGTAAGCTGCACTCTGTGTGAGCTGCCCTCCTCCTTCAAGTGATGCAACACCTATCTACGCTTGGAATCCTCCAAGTATCACCGCCTTGTAACGATATGAAAGCTGGACGTATGAGGCTTTGCAGTCTTGAATGCGCCGAGTATTGCTAGGATGGGACATATGTTTGGCTATATTCGACTCCAAGGTGAACTGATGGTTATTGCATGTGACGCCAGTGAATTTACTTAGTGTTTTCTATGCATGTTAGCTGTTTGCCGTGCGCAAACTGGAATGCACACGTTCTGAACCTTTTGGAGAAGTTTCATCACTGCGTGACATAGCCAATAGTGTTGAACGTACAGCACAACATGTTTGCATGTTGTGAGACGTTTTCGTTTGATTCAGCATGGCATCGTGACTGCAACATGTCCAAGTTGCATCACGAAAGTGTTTCTGATGTCATGGTTGAGTTTTGCATCTTCAACAGTTTCATGTGAAAGAGCGGTTGCAACGTCAATCGTTGCAGGAAGAATTGAAACTGTTTGTTCTCGAATGTTTTTGGCATGTTAACTTTTGGTGCAGTCGAGAATTCAATCCGAATTTCATTCCTGAATTCATTTTTCTTCTCGAGCAAGAAGGGCTTGAACAAAGACAGAAAGAGCTTAGGACGCCTTTCGTTGTTGTGCTTGGTGTCTAGATCTCTGTGTGAGTTGCATGAGTGCAAAAAGGTGACTTCGTCTTGAGCAGAGAGATTTTTATAACGGTCCTCAGGTGTTTTCGCCTGCTTCCGCCGACCCCGAGTGTAATTAAGATCCAGGGAAGCTGCGCTAGGAATTGTTAGGCTTTGTGCTGCACTAGTCGTCTCAGGTGTAACAGGTGTGAGCGACGGGTAGTTGTTTCTCCGCGCTTAGGTTGCCATGTGTGCATAGCTGCGTAGCTAGGGAGCGATACGTCAGGCAACAGGTTTGAGGTCTACTTGCGTGCGTAAATTTCCGCAGTAGATTTCCGCATATCGCCGATACTTCTGTGCATAGTCAGGCCCTACCATCATGGCTGTAGGGACAAAGGGAGTGTGGAGCACCATGTCTTAAAAAACAGCAATGCTCGTAAGGGAAAGGCAGCACAAAAGTTTTTCTGCAGCATTTTGAGGACTTCTTCACCATCACCTTTGTGCCCTTCTGGCAATGACAAGCTCAGCTGCCCCAAAAACTCTGAGCTCGACCTCGCCAGCTGAAGCAGGATCTCAAAGAGATGAGTGAGACAGTGAAACTTTCAGAGCAAAAGAAGAGACGCTTCATGAGGGCTACTCACACACTTTACATGATGAAGACTGGGTACAGCTTCTCCGTGAACGTCAAAATCAACGTACCAACGAATCTAATTCGGAGGAAGGACAAAACGGAGAGGTTTCAGGGTAATCACCAGAAACGTGGACAACAGTGTGAAACTATGGATCGCGTAGAAGATGTTGGGAAAAATGATGTATATAAATGGTCGAAATGATAGTGCAGAAGAGCCAGACAGTCACAATTGATGGGGATGGTGAATCTGCAAGGGGACAGCTCTCAAGAGATTGTTGGCAAAGCTTAGTCTAATGTCAGCTCAGCGCAGGTTAGCAACATCAACTCCCAACGGATGTTTGATGTTCGTCTCTTGTTAGTACGAACGAGATCAGCGTTGACTAAGCTGAGATTTGTGTGGGATCAAGAGATGCAGCATTCTTGTTGGGAATCATCTGACTGACATTGGCAGGCAGTTAGCAGACTGTTTGACCAAGAGTATGAAACCTGACCTTTTGGTCAGAGTGCTTGCTGAGGTATACATCACTTGAAAAAGCCTGACTGAGAGACTTGGAAGTGTACAGACGTTGGAATAGCACAGTAGTACCAGAATGAGATAGCCTGGTGAGCCATTTTGGCCATTCCAATAGGAATAGAGTTGCATGCTTTGTTTTGTATATAGTACTGCCGCGTTCACACCAGTAGACAAGACGGGTGTGATTCCACGCTGTCGTATGCATGGTCTTAGAGAAGCCTGGTTGTGAATGACTGCTGTGTCACGCACCTTTTGGCTTAAACCTTTAGGGCCCTTGAGCTTTTCGTGGCGACGACCAAAAGGATCCAGCCGAGATTCAAACTTATTTCCTTTTTGTGGGTAAACTATGGTAAACTTCTTCTCTCCTTTTGTTGTGCCTGAACCTGACTAACTGTTGGTCAACTTGCAGCACGCACGAAAAACCTTATACCTGAAAACTGTTGACCAACTTCCAGTAAACACGAAAACCTTACCCCAAACAACTAGGTTTCACACAGTTTTTGATCACCCCAAGGGCTAGGAATATCTTTCTGGTGACATTTAGATTTTGATCCTGGCGACCTCCAGCCATGGCACCGAGGATGTTGGAGCAGCCGGGAGGCGGAGGAGCCGCGCAGCCCGCAGATCTGCCACGGATGTCAGTTGACATGGCAGGGATGGTAAGATGCTAAGGTCAGATGGAAACAACCGGATGATGGAGATATGTGACACCTTACCTGAACTCCACATTGATCCTTTTCCTGCAGCCATTTGGGCTGGTTTTCCTGTTTCACTTCCATGACATTCCATGACCATTTCGAGTTCAAGTTCTGAGGCGAGCTCCGAAACTTCGGAGACTGGAACGTCTTCAGGAGATCCATCGGTCCGAAAACCTTGGTGCCGATGGTTGCCCCGATCGTACCTGCTGGTCTTGGTGATCAATGCCACTGCGACCCTTCTGCTGTGGCCTGGTGATGTTCAGTATGTTGATCCCTGTCCACTCAAGTTTCGTCTCTTCTTCTTTGGGCTGATGCTGTCGAGTTTTGGAGCCGGCTGCGTAGCAGCCTTTCTGGTGAGAAGGGCTGAAGCATCAGATCATACAAAGTGGGCCTGTGGCTATGCCATAATCAACTGGATTCAAGCCATGTTGGGTTCGATGGGAATGGAGGAGCCAGGGGGAAGGTACTGCAGGTATGGAGTGATACCAGAAGGAGATACCAGGTATTGGGCACTTGAATTCTGCCGATGGCTGCTGTATCTCGTTGCTTCCTGCTGGATGCAGACGCTCATCGCTTCACGGCTGGATCTCTTGGAGCAATCTTCGACTCGGAACTACTGCAGTAGCTGCTTTCGCAGACTGATGTGGGCCCAAGTCTTTGGGGCAGCAGGGGTTTTGCTTCCCATTGCGTTCTTGGTCTATACGATCATGCGGGGTGGGTACTCTTGGGGTACAGCTTTGACCAGTCTGATCGCAATAGGAGGCATCACATTGCTGTGCAATTGGGCAGCGAGCATCGTGGCCATTTGCTCTTTCCGAAAGTCTTACTCGGAGCTGCGGAGGATTTGTCGCCTGGCAGAAGCGAACGAGGCCTCCATCTCCGCAAGATCTTCCTTGAGACGAGCCCGAAGGTTTGCTGGTTTGCAAGGGTTGGGTGTATCATTTAGCCTCGTGTTCACGCTTCTGCTTGTTCCAGCACGTGTTTGTTCTATGCTTCTGTATCATGAAAGCTATGACGCGTTGACGGTGGTCGTGTTTCTTATTCAAGCTCTTGATGCCCTGGGAGATGCTGTGGCCGTTCTCCTTCTGTCCGGCAGCCACAGGATGGCCAAAGTTGAAAGGAGTCAGGGGAGCCAACGTAGCTGGAAAGTCGAAAAGCCTGAGAATAGCAGAAACCAACAGACTTCACATGAAGATGTGAACTGGACCAGCAAGGTGGAAGAACTTTCAATGCGGGGGATGACTTTGAGGAGCCTCCTGCAGTTCTATCAAGAAAACCTCCCTTCAATGCCAGATTGGAAGTATGCGCCCAGGGAACACAAGACCAGAGATGTGGTCCGAAGAGCGATCATCCCATTGACTAGCAGAGAAGAATGTGCATTCTCAGTTTCAGCTTTCAACAAGGATGGTCCGAAACGGGCACAGGTCATGGTGACCCACAATTGGGGCAACTCGTTCAGCGACCTGCTGGCTGCAGTGCTGTCGGATGCCCTGCAGGAATGCAGTTTCAGCTTGCCAGCAGAACTTCTGCAGGAGGAGTGCGCTTTCCTACAGGACCTTCTGGCGAAAATGGGGAGGTTGGATGAGACGTATTGGATCTGTGCGTTTGCTGTGAACCAACACATCAGCATCTACCCGTATGACCGGGATCCTTTCACAAATCAGCTGCACCCAGTGTGCCACTGCAACAGCACAAACATCATTGACTCGGATGGCCGAAGTGCTTCGTCAGAGATCAACAAGTTTGATGACATGATGCGTCTTCTTGCCACGACTGGGGGATGCCGACAAGTGATTGCAGTGGACAAACCTCTGGATTTGTTTCGCCGTGCCTGGTGCGTGGCTGAGATTGCGGAAGCCAAACGTTTGCAGATGGACCAGTCATTGAAACTCTGGTCCAAAGCAACGCTGCAAGAACGTGCCCGGACATTGGAAAACCTGGATGTGCGGGACATGCGTGCCTCCTCGGAAAAGGACAAGGAACTCATCCTTGGCAAGATTCAGGATGTAGATGATTTCAATGCCAAGCTTCAGGTGCTCATTTTTGATCCAAAATCAGGCCTTGTTGCCACATGGAATGCCATGGATAGCCTGCAGCAGATTGGTGAAGTGGGCCGGCTCATTCGATGGGGCCTGGCAGATGCAGGCAGTGGAAAAGTGTGGAAAGCATGGGACGGCCACAACTGAATCCACTAAGCACAGCCCAGAAGAGGCATGTGCAAATATCACTTTTGCAACCTGACACCCACAAGAGGCAGCAAAATTCAGTTTGGATAAAATAGATGCAGGACCAGCGAGATTTTCATGATTTTTGCAAAGTGTTGCAGAAATTCGCAATCCAAACATATCCAAACAACCAGTTGCAGCACGTGCTTGAACTGAAATCCAACCAACATCCATTAGATTATCATCATTTTTCCTAGGAAAAATGGCTACGGATGGACCAATTTTTTGTGGCTTCAGACTTTCCAGGAGTACGTCTGGAGGGTCGAGGCAGGTGATGACCAACATGTGCCATGGTTCATTCTCCATTTTTGGATTGCGGAAAGGGAATATATGCCAGAAACCAGGTTTTTCCCGGTACATCAAGGAGTTTCCGGAAAATTTTCCAATGATCCAATTCTGGGACATTTGATATTCCATTTTTTTTTTCTATCTATCTTTTGGCATTCAACATTGGTTTTCAATACATCTAGTGGCATGATCATCTCCCAAGTACCGAGGGGTTAGCAAGTGTCATGACGGATTTTTTCGGGCCAACCGGAGCAGGGCACCTTTTGTTGGCCTGGAAAGAGTCGATCCTTCACCCCGCGGGCCTGTGCTGGAAGGCGATGTTGACGATGAGAAAAGAAGAGCTCCAAGTTGGCAGCTTAAACTTCCAGTGCCAGTGACTAGTGTCGGGTGTGGAAGCAACTTTTGCGGACCCTACGGGTTTTATGATGTTGCATATTTATCAGCCTTCCAGGTTTGTTGTTCACAGCATGTTAGACCTCGTGTTGCTCATTACTTATTTCACTTTTTGTGGATAAACTATGGTAAACCTCTTCTCTCCTGTTGTTGTACCTGACTGCAACTGTTGATCAACTTCCAGTGAGCACGAAAAACCTTACCCCCAAAAAATCGGTTTCACACAGCTGTTGATTACCCCAAGGGCTTCTAGGATTCTAGATATATGTTTCTGGTGGTTTCTCAGATGTTGATCCTGGCGACTTCCCAGACATGGCACCGAGGATGTTGGAGCAGCCCGGAGGCGGAGGAGGAGCCGCGCAGCTCGCAGATCTGCCACGGAGTGGCCATGCCCATGGCGTCAGTTGATCATCCCAGCCGTGATGTCAGTTGACTTTGCACGGAGGGATGGTAAGATGCTAAGGTAAGATGGAAGCAACCGGATGACGGAGATATGAGACACTTTACATGAACTTCACATCGATGTTCCTGCAGCCATTTGGGCTCGTGTTCCTGTTTCACTTCCATGACATTCCATGACCATTTCGAGTTCAAGTTCTGAGGCGAGCTCCGAAACTTCGGAGACTGGACAGTCTTCAGGAGATCCATCGGGCCGAAAACCTTGGTGCCGATGGTTGCCCCGATCGTACCTGCTGGTCTTGGTGATCAATGCCACTGCGACCCTTCTGCTGTGGCCTGCTGATGATTGGGGTGGACTCCCCTGTCCACTCAAGTTTCGTCTCTTCTTCTTTGGGCTGATGCTGTCGAGTTTGGGAGCCGGCTGTGTAGCAGCCTTTCTGGTGAGAAGGGCTGAAGCTTCAGGTCATACAAAGTGGGCCTGTGGCTATGCCATAATCAACTGGATTCAAGCCATGTTGGGTTCGATGGGAATGGACAATCCACTGGATGGGTACTGGCAATGCACGTATGGAGTGATACCAGATAGAGACTTCGGAGGCAAAATTTGGTATTTGGCACTTCTATTGTGCCGATTGCTGCTGTATCTCCTTGCCTCTTTCTGGATGCAGACGCTCATCGCCTCACGGCTCGATCTCCTGGAGCAATCTTCGAATCGGAACTACCGCAGTGGCTGCTTTCGCAAACTGATGTGGGCCCAAGTCTTTGGGGCAGCAGGGGTTTTGCTTCTCATTGCAGGCACAATCATTACGGGTAGTAGCAACAGCGGAAGTATCATTTTCTATACAAGTTGGATCAGTCTGTGCGCAATAGGAGGCATCGCATTGCTGCGCAATGTGGCAGCGAGCATCGTGGCCATTTGCTCTTTCCGAAAGTCTTACTCGGAGCTGCGGAGGATTTGTCGCCTGGCAGAAGCGAATGAGGCGCCTATCTCCGCAAGATCTTCCTTGAGACGAGCCCGAAGGTTTGCTGGCTTGCAAGGGTTGGGCGTATCATTTAGCCTCGTGTTCACGCTTCTGCTCGTTCCAGCACGTGTTAGTTCTATGCTTTTTGCTGTTGGAAGCTATGACTTTGACGGCTATGACGCGTTGACCGTGGTCTTGTTTCTTATTCAAGCTTTTGATGCCCTCGGAAATGCTCTGGCCGTGCTCCTTCTGTCTGGCAGCCACAGGATGGCCAAAGTTGAAAGGAGTCAGGGGAGCCACAGGAGCTGGAAAGTCGAAAAGGCCGAACATAGGAGAAACCAACAGACTTCGCATGAAGATGTGAACTGGACTAGAAAGGTGGAAGAACTCTCAATGCGGGGGATGACTTTGAGGAGCCTCCTGACGTTCTATCAAGAAAACCTCCCTTCAATGCCAGATTGGAAATATGCGCCCAGGGAACACAAGACCAGAGATGTGGTCCGAAGAGCGATCATCCCATTGACTAGCAGCGAAGAATGCGCGTTCTCAGTTTCAGCTTTCAACAGGGATGGTCCGAAACGGGCACAGGTCATGGTGACCCACAATTGGGGCAACTCGTTTAGCAACCTGCTGGCTGCAGTGCTGTCGGATGCCCTGCAGGAATGCAGTTTCAGCTTGCCAGCAGAACTTCTGCAGCAGGAGTGCACTTTCCTGCAGGACCTTCTGGCGAAAATGGGCCGGTTGGACGACACGTATTGGATCTGTGCGTTTGCTGTGAACCAACACATCAGCATCTGCCACAGCAACCCGTATGACCGGGATCCTTTCACAGATCAGCTGCACCCAGTGTGCCACTGCAACAGCACAAACATCATTGACTCGGATGGCCGAAGTGCCTCGTCAGAGATCAACAAGTTTGATGACATGATGCGTCTTCTTGCCACGACTCGGGGATGCCGACAAGTGATTGCAGTGGACAAATCTCTGGATTTGTTTCACCGTGCCTGGTGTGTGGCTGAGATTGCGGAAGCCAAACGTTTGCAGATGGACCAGTCATTGAAACTCTGGTCCAAAGCAACGCTGCAAGAACGCGCCCAATCATTGGAAAACCTGGATGTGCGGGACATGCGTGCCTCCTCGGACAAGGACAAGGAACTCATCCTTGGCAAGATCCAGGACATAGATGATTTCAATGCCAAGCTTCAAGTGCTCATTTTTGATCCAAAATCAGGCCTTGTTGCCACATGGAATGCCATGGATAGCCTGCAGCAGATTGGTGAAGTGGGCCGGCTCATTCGATGGGGCCTGGCAGATGCAGGCAGTGGAAAAGTGTGGAAAGCATGGGAAAGCCACAACTGAATCCACTTTTTAAGCACAGCCCAGAAGAGGCATGTGCCAGTATCACTTTTGCAACCTGCCACCCGAAAGAGGCAGCAAATTCAGATTGGATGCATTACCAGCAAGAGTTTTGTGTTTTTTTCAAATTGTTGCAGAATCTGACATTCCAAACATATCCAAACAACCAATTGAAGCACGTGCTTGAACTGAAATCCAACCAGCATCCATTAGATTATTATCATTTTTCCTATGAAAGATGGCTATAGTTGGCTGAATCCACTAAGCACAGCCCAGAAGAGGCATGTGCCAATCTCACTTTTGCAACCTGCCGCCCGAAGGGGCAGCAAAATTTACATTGGATAAAATAGATGCAGGACCAGCAAGAGTTTCTTGATTCACCAGCGCAAAGTGTTTGCAGACATTCTTTTTGCAAACAACCAATTGCAGCACTTGGTTGAAAAAAATTGCGGGTTCAAACTTTCCAGGAGTCTCTGCGTTTGGTTGTTGAGCGGACGGAAGACATAGAACGCCTACTCGGGCGGAAGGGTCGAGGTGGGTTGGCAGCCTTGTGATGTTTCGCCTATTGATCTTCTATTTTTTTTTGGTGGGATGGAGTTTCAGAGCTCTGAAAATAGACAATTTAAACTTTCCAGATAATTTAAGTGGATATGGGCAAGTGTCCAATTTCAAACGAAGAATTCAAAGCCTGCTTGCAGGGAAAGAGTGAAGCACTTCCACTTCAGACCGATTTATGGAACTCTCAGGTTGAAGTTTTTTTTCTCTGCCCTTCAGCGCAGGAGCAGTCTCAACGACCAGCTCAGTTGCTGGCGCTGAAATATCCAGGATGGGTCCTTTTTTAAGGACCTGGATGGTTTAGTACGTGCCAACATTATCTTGGATAAGAGGCAATAAGAGGTCTCCAATTTTTGTGGCCTCACCAAAAATACAGATGATGGCCGTGTCACATGCTGAAGACTCGCATGGATCCAGCCACATGGTAGTTGGCCAAGGGATGATGCGATGCTCTTGGGATGTGGTGATTGCCATGAACATGATCAATGTAATGTGAATTACTATGGATTGGTACGTTGGGAGGTGACGTAGCCGAAAGATCCTTAAAGTGTCTAGTGACTGAATAGGATGTGAATCAGGATGGCAGGATGGCGGGCACAATGTGACATGAAACGTGGCAGTTCGCTGTGGCTTTTTCTCTAAGGCATCAGTCACAGCGCGACAGCGCCCATAGTGGCCATCAGGATTTTGGAATCTGAAACAATGTTTGTCTGAAACATCGGAATGATCCTCAATGGTCTAGTTCACCTTGTATCGTCACTAGATTTCGACATGCAGCTGTGGTCTTACTGGCATGATCATCTCCCAAGTACCGAGGGGTTAGCAAGTGTCATGACGGATTTTTTTCCGGCCAACCGGAGCAGGGCACCTTTTGTTGGCCTGGAAAGAGTCGATCCTTCACCCCGCGGCCCTGTGATGGAAGGCGATGTTGACGATGAGAAAAGAAGAGCTCCAAGTTGGCAGCTTAAAGTTCCAGTGCCAGTGACTAGTGTCGGGTGCGGAAGCAACTTTTGCGGACCCTACGGGTTTTATGATGTTGCATATTTATCAGCCTTCCAGGTTTGTTGTTCACAGCATGTTTGACCTCTTGTTGCTGCTCGTGGGTAAACTATTGTAAACTTATCTTCTGTTGTTGCACCTGGCTACAACTGTTGATTAAATTGCAGTAAACACGAAAAACCCTATCCCAAAAAAACTCGGTTTCACACAACTGTTGATCACCCCAAGGGCTTCTAGGAATATCTTTCTGCTGACATTCAGATGTTGATCCTGGCGACCTCCAGCCATGGCACTGAGGATGTTAGAGCAACCGGGAGGCGGAGGAGCCGCGCAGCTCGCAGATCTGCCACGGAGTGGCCATGCCCATGGCGTCAGTTGATCATCCCAGCCGTGATGTCGGTTGACATGGCAGGGATGGTAAGATGCTAAGGTAAGATGGAAGCAACCGGATGACGGAGATATGCGACACTTTACCTGAACTTCACATCGATGTTCCTGCAGCCATTTGGGCTGGTTTTCCATGGTTTTCCTGTTTCAGTTCCACGGCATTCCATGACCATTTCGAGTTCAAGTTCTGAGGCCAGCTCCGAAACTTCGGAGACTGGAACGTCTTCAGGAGATCCATGGTTGCCCCAATCGTACATGCTGGTCTCGGGTTCTGAGGCGAGCTCCGAAAGTTCGGAGACTGGAAAGTCTTCAGGAGATCCATCGGTCCGAAAACCTTGGTGCCGATGGTTGCCCCGATCGTACCTGCTGGTCTTGGTGATCAATGCCACTGCAACCCTTCTGCTGTGGCCTGCTGATGTTGAGTTTCCTGATCCCCGGTACAATCATCCTGTCTGTCCACTTAAGATGCGACTCTTCTTCTTTGGGCTGATGCTGTCAAGTTTCGCAGCCGGCTGTGTAGCAGCCTTTCTGGTGAGAAGGGCTGAAGCTTCAGATCATACAAAGTGGGCCTGTGGCTATGCCATAATCAACTGGATTCAAGCCATGTTGGGCTCACTGGGAATGAACAGTCCTGCAGTGGTTGGTAGCTGCAGGTATGGAGTGATACCACCTTTATGGGAACGCAGAGGCGTAATTTGGTATTTTGCACTTCCATTGTGCCGATTGCTGCTGTATCTCGTTGCCTCTTTCTGGATGCAGACACTCATCGCTTCACGGCTGGATCTCTTGGAGCAATCTTCGAATCGGAACTACTGCAGTACCTGCATTCGCACACTGATGTCAGCCCAAGTCTTTGGGGCAGCAGGGTTTTTGCTTCCCATTGCAGGCATAATCTATGGTCTGATTACGGCACCGGGTGGTATCAACATTTTCCGTACATGTATCCTGAGCCTGATGGCAATAGGAGGCATCACATTGCTGTGCAATGTGGCAGCGAGCATCGTGGCCATTTGCTCTTTCCAAAAGTCTTATTTGGAGCTGCGGAGGATTTGTCGCCTGGCAGAAGCGAATGAGGCGCCTATCTCCGCAAGATCTTCCTTGAGACGAGCCCGAAGGTTTGCTGGTCTGCAAGGGTTGGGTGTATCATTTAGCCTCGTGTTCACGCTTCTGCTCGTTCCAGCACGTGTTGGTTCTATTGCTGTTGTTTTCAAAGTTGGAGGCTATGACTTTGACGGCTATGACGCGTTGACCGTGGTCTTGTTTCTTATTCAAGCTCTTGATGCTCTGGGAAATGCTGTGGCCGTTCTCCTTCTGTCCGGCAGTCACAGGATGGCCAAAGTTGAAAGGAGTCAGGGGAGCGACAGGAGCTGGAAAGTCGAAAAGGCCGAGCATAGCAGAAACCAACAGACTTCGCATGAAGATGTGAACTGGACTAGAAAGGTGGAAGAACTCTCAATGCGGGGGATGACTTTGAGGAGCCTCCTGCAGTTCTATCAAGAAAACCTCCGTTCCATGCCAGATTGGAAATATGCGCCCAGGGAACACAAGACCAGAGATGTGGTCCGAAGAGTGATCATCCCATTGACTAGCAGCGAAGAATGCGCATTCTCAGTTTCAGCTTTCAACAAGGATGGTCCGAAACGGGCACAGGTCATGGTGACCCACAATTGGGGCAACTCGTTCAGCGACCTGCTGGCTGCAGTGCTGTCAGATGCCCTGCAGGAATGCAGTTTCAGCTTGCCAGCAGAACTTCTGCAGGAGGATTGCGCTTTCCTGCAGGACCTTCTGGCGAAAATGGGGGGGTTGGATGAGACGTACTGGATCTGTGCGTTTGCTGTGAACCAGCACATCAGCATCTGCCACAGCAACCCGTATGACCGGGATCCTTTCACAGATCAACTACACCCAGTGTGCCACTGCAGCAGCACAAACATCATTGACCCGGATGGCCGAAGTGCCTCGTCAGAGATCAACAAGTTTGATGACATGATGCACCTTCTTGCCACGACTGGGGGATGCAGACAAGTGATTGCAGTGGACAAAGCTCTGGATTTGTTTCGCCGCGCCTGGTGTGTGGCTGAGATTGCGGAAGCCAAACGTTTGCAGATGGACCAGTCACTGAAACTCTGGTCCAAAGCAACGCTGCAAGAACGTGCCCGGACACTGGAAAACCTGGATGTGCGGGACATGCGTGCCTCTTCCGAAAAGGACAAGGAACTCATCCTTGGCAAGATTCAGGATGTAGATGATTTCAATGCCGAGCTTCAGGTGCTCATTTTTGATCCAAAATCAGGCCTTGTTGCCACATGGAATGCCATGGATAGCCTGCAGCAGATTGGTGAAGTGGGCCGGCTCATTCGATGGGGCCTGGCAGATGCAGGCAGTGGAAAAGTGTGGAAAGCATGGGACGGCCACAACTGAATCCACTAAGCACAGCCCAGAAGAGGCATGTGCCAATCTCACTTTTGCGATCTGCCACCCGAAAGAGGCAGCAAATTCAGATTGGATAAAATAGATGCATGACCAGCAAGAGTTTCGTGATTTTTGCAGAATCTGACAATCCAAACATATCCAAACAACCAATTGAAGCACGTGCTTGAACTGAAATCCAACCAGCATCTATTAGATTATTATCATTTTTCCTATGAAAGATGGCTATAGTTGGCTGAATCCACTAAGCACAGCCCAGAAGAGGCATGTGCCAATCTCACTTTTGCGATCTGCCACCCGAAAGAGGCAGCAAATTCAGATTGGATAAAATAGATGCAGGACCAGCAAGAGTTTCATGATTCACCGGCGCAAAGTGTTTGCAGGCATTCTTTTTGCAAACAACCAATTGCAGCACTTGGTTGAAAAAAAATGCGGGTTCAAACTTTCCAGGAGTCTCTGCGTTTGGCCGTTGAGCGGACGGAAGACATAGAACGCCTACTCGGGCGGAAGGGTCGAGGTGGGGTGGCAGCCTTGTGATGTTTCGCCTATTGATCGTCTATTTTTTTTGGTGGGATGGAGTTTCAGAGCTCTGAAAATAGACAACTTAAGATAATTTAAGTGGATAGGGCAAGTGTCCAATTTCAAACGAAGAATTCAAAGCCTGCAGCTTTGCAGGGAAAGAGTGAAGCACTTCCACTTCAGACCGATTTATGGAACTCTCAGGTTGAAGTTTTTTTTTTTCCTCTGCCTGCCTTCAGACAGCGACAGAGGGGCCCTGCAGCGCAGGAGCAGTCTCAATGACCAGCTCAGTTGCTGGCGCTGAAATATCCAGGATGGGTCCTTTTTTAGGACCTGGATGGTTTAGTACGTGCCAACATTATCTTGGATAAGAGGCAATAAGAGGTCTCCAATTTTTGTGGCCTCACCAAAAATACAGATGATGGCCGTGTCACATGCTGAAGACTCGCATGGATCCAGCCACATGGTAGTTGGCCAAGGGATGATGCGATGCTCTTGGGATGTGGTGATTGCCATGAACATCATCAATGTAATGTGAATTACTATGGATTGGTACGTTGGGAGGTGACGTAGCCGAAAGATCCTTAAAGTGTCTAGTGACTGAATAGGATGCAAATCAGGATGGCAGGATGGCGGGCACAATGTGACATGAAACGTGGCAGTTCGCTGTGGCTTTTTCTCTAAGTCTTGTCAGTCACAGCGCGACAGCGGCCACTTTGTGGCCATCAGGATTTTTGGAATCTGAAACAATGTTTGTCTGAAACATCGGAATGAATCCTCAATGGTCTAGTTCACCTTGTATCGCCACGAATTTCGACATGCAGCTTTGGTCTCAACCGCCACTGGCAGGAGCTGGTAGAGATGGCCATTCAGAAGATGACTGCCTGGCAAAGTTACAGGTGCACCGGTTGAGCCCAGAGCCACGAACGTAACTCGTTGGTGAAATGTTGGTGAAATACCGAGGAAAGAAACCCTAATTTCATAGGGTTTTTCAATTTGAGAAATGCTGAAATATGCTGAAATCATCGTGAAAGTGGAAAAAAAACGGATCCAATCTTTGAAGACGCTCTACACGGGGCCTGCAGACGGATTTTCTTATGGCCAATCGTTTGAACTGTGGGGAGACATGCTCCCAGATCATCATTGCCTGACATATTATCCATACAATCCCCTAATTCTCCCCGCAGTTCCACCAAAATTCCTATACTACACCCAATTCAGTGGCTTATCTATGATAACATGAGGAGTCGTATCCAAATCCCCCCAAGACTACACGATCCCAATCTTCATTTTTGGGTTTAAAAGGAGGTACATGCAGGGCCTTGGGGGCCTTGAGCACCACCCAGCCTGTCTCCCTACGCCAGGAAGTGAACGAGAAGCACGAAACTTTGGAAAAGACACTTGCCAAAGAAGAGGATAAACCTGGTGGTAGTTTAATGGCTGCCCTTTCCCCCTATGAAATACCACCCACAACCCCTGGCGAGTTGCATTGGATCTATTCACTTTGGGTATCATATGGGGGGCATTTAATATTAGGGGCGTGAGAAGCGGGGGAGCACTGCCTCCGAGAATGACCCCCCACTGGGCCTGGTACATCCAGGTGCCAGCTATTGCCATAGGGGGTTTGACTCATGGCCAGAGATGTTTATTTTGGGCGGAAACCCATAGGGTTGTGTACCTTCATGATCCAAGCAGATCCAAGGTATGGTGATCTGTGGTGTTTGGAGTCTGGGGATCAAGGAATGCAATGATGTTTTAATACCTTGAGTTAAATGGTGCGGTAAGAGGTTACAATTTTTGCTAGCCAGAAATCAGTCCAATTTACCCACGAGCTTTTTTGCCGATGCATTGGGCAAAGTTCAATGCACGCGGATGGGAATTGAACCATACGCCCAAAGATGCCACCAAAAATGGGCTTCAGACTTGCATTTTCATTGGAAACTTAGTTTTTTTTCTTCTGAACATTTTTCATTTCCACTTAAATCTTCTGGATCCCAGAGTGATCGTTGTTGATAGATGTCTCAAGGTACATGGACCAAGTGACAGGCGTGGAAAGCTGCTAGCATGCTGGCCGTCACATGCTGTGACTATTTTGACATCATTTGTGCCGCAGGAATCTCACATTGGCCACATGGGTGTTTTTGGGATTTTTTGGGTACCATCGGCCACCCCCAAAAAAACAAGGTAGGCCGTTTGCTGAAAGATGACCAGGAAATCTGCAGCTCCCATGGATTCCGCATGACTTCTGTGTGCATGGACTGAGCGATGAGCCAAACTGCCGCGTAAATTCCTTGGGAAACAGTTGTGATGATGGATATTTGTGGTGGAATTTGGTAGGATTTATATCAATATCAACAAATATATATATATATAATTATATATATTTATATCAATATAAATCAATATTTTATATCATTTTATATGCCTATCTACAGAATCTTTCCGATTCTTCTGGATTACCAGAGGCTGCGTCCCGTTGACGTTGATCAAGCCCCAAGAGAGGCCCACCAGCTCTCTGTCGAGCGACTGGAGCACTTGGAAGGGTCAGGGCGCCCCAGCGGTTAAGCCCATGATTCACCAGCTAAGCATGGGTTGGACCAGGTTGGGTCAACATCGAGGCCACAGTTTTGAAGCCATCGTTTCATATCATTTCCTCATCGCAGATACAGATTTGTGATGTATATATATATATATGTATATGTAATATCTGCTCATACGCTGGGCTACAGTGGCTACAGAATGATGTTCCATATTTATCAGCCCTCCAGCTTTGTTGCTCACAGCATGTTAGGCCTCTTGTTGCTCATGAGTTATTTCACTTCTCGTGACTTCTCGTGGGTAAACTATTGTAAACTTCTCTTCTGTTGTTGCACCTGACTACAACTGTTGATCAATTTCCAGTAAACACCGAAACCCTTACCCCAAAAACTCGGTTTCACACAACTGTTGATCACCCCAAGAGCTTCTAGGAATATCTTTCTGGTGACATTCAGATTTTGATCCTGGCGACCTCCAGCCATGGCACCGAGGATGTTGGAGCAGCCGGGAGGCGGAGGAGCCGCGCAGCCCGCAGATCTGCCACGGATGTCAGTTGACATGGCAGGGATGGTAAGATGCTAAGGTAAGATGGAAACAACCGGATGACGGAGATATGAGACACTTTACCTGAACTCCACATTGATCCTTTTCCTGCAGCCATTTGGGCTGGTTTTCCTGTTTCACTTCCATGACATTCCATGACCATTTCGAGTTCAAGTTCTGAGGCGAGCTCCGAAACTTCGGAGACTGGCACGTCTTCAGAAGATCCATCGGTCCGAAAACCTTGGTGCCGATGGTTGCCCCGATCGTACCTGCTGGTCTTGGTGATCAATGCCACTGCGACCGTTCTGCTGTGGCCTGCTGATGCTGAGTATCCTGATTGGTGGTACGATGATCCTCCTGTCTGTCCACTCAAATTTCAACTCTTCTTCTTTGGGCTGATGCTGTCGAGCTTCGGAGCCGGCTGTGTAGCAGCCTTTCTGGTGAGAAGGGCTGAAGCTTCAGGTCATACAAAGTGGGCCTGTGGCTATGCCATAATCAACTGGATTCAATCCATGTTGGGCTCACTGGGAATGGAACGTCCAGGGGGAGGGTACGGGTACTGCAGGTATGGAGTGATACCAGATAGATCAGATAGAGGCTTGAGAGGCGACATTTGTTATTCTGCACTTGCATGCTGCCGATTGCTTCTGTATCTCGTTGCCTCTTTCTGGATGCAGACACTCATCGCTTCACGGCTGGATCTCTTGGAGCAATCTTCCAATCGGAACTACTGCAGTAGCTGCTTTCGCAGACTGATGTGGGCCCAAGTCTTTGGGGCAGCAGGGTTTTTGCTTCTCTTTGCAGGCATAATTTATCAGATCATTACGGGTGGTAGCAACAGCGGAAGTATCATTTACGTTACAAGTGCTATGAGCCTGTACGCAATAGGAGGCATCACATTGCTGTGCAATTGGGCAGCGAGCATCGTGGCCATTTGCTCTTTCCGAAAGTCTTATTCGGAGCTGCGGAGGATTTGTCGCCTGGCAGAAGCCAATGAGGCGCCGATCTCCGCAAGATCTTCCTTGAGACGAGCCCGAAGGTTTGCTGGTTTGCAAGGGTTGGGTGTATCATTTAGCCTCGTGTTCACGGTTCTGCTCGTTCCAGCACGTGCTGGTTCGGTGCTTCTAAGCTATTACAGCTACTGGGATCCCCAGTATGACTCTTTGCAGGTGGTCTTGTTTCTTATTCAAGCTTTTGATGCCCTGGGAAATACTGTGGCTGTTCTCCTTCTGTCCGGCAGCCACAGGATGGCCAAAGTTGAAAGGAGTCAGGGGAGCCAATGTGGCTGCTGGAAAGTCGAAAAGGCCGAGCATAGCAGAAACCAACAGACTTCACATGAAGATGTGAACTGGACCAGAAAGGTGGAAGAACTTTCAATGCGGGGGATGACTTTGCGGAGCCTCCTGCAGTTCTATCAAGAAAACCTCCCTTCAATGCCAGATTGGAAATATGCGCCCAGGGAACACAAGACCAGAGATGTGGTCCGAAGAGCGATCATCCCATTGACTAGCAGAGAAGAATGCGCATTCTCAGTTTCAGCTTTCAACAAGGATGGTCCGAAACGGGCACAGGTCATGGTGACCCACAATTGGGGCAACTCGTTCAGCGACCTGCTGGCTGCAGTGCTGTCGGATGCCCTGCAGGAATGCAGTTTCAGCTTGCCAGCAGAACTTCTGCAGGAGGATTGCGCTTTCCTACAGGACCTTCTGGCGAAAATGGGGAGGTTGGATGAGACGTATTGGATCTGTGCGTTTGCTGTGAACCAACACATCAGCATCTGCCACAGCAACCCGTATGACCGGGATCCTTTCACAGATCAACTGCACCCAGTGTGCCAGTGCAACAGCACAAACATCATTGACTCGGATGGCCGAAGTGCTTCGTCAGAGATCAACAAGTTTGATGACATGATGCGTCTTCTTGCCACGACTGGGGGATGCCGACAAGTGATTGCAGTGGACAAACCTCTGGATTTGTTTCGCCGTGCCTGGTGCGTGGCTGAGATTGCGGAAGCCAAACGTTTGCAGATGGACCAGTCATTGAAACTCTGGTCCAAAGCAACGCTGCAAGAACGCGCCCGGACATTGGAAAACCTGGATGTGCGGGACATGCGTGCCTCCTCGGACAAGGACAAGGAACTCATCCTTGGCAAGATTCAGGATGTAGATGATTTCAATGCCAAGCTTCAGGTGCTCATTTTTGATCCAAAATCAGGCCTTGTTGCCACATGGAATGCCATGGATAGCCTGCAGCAGATTGGTGAAGTGGGCCGGCTCATTCGATGGGGCCTGGCAGATGCAGGCAGTGGAAAAGTGTGGAAAGCATGGGACAGCCACAACTGAATCCACTAAGCACAGCCCAGAAGAGGCATGTGCCAATCTCACTTTTGCGATCTGCCACCGGAAAGAGGCAGCAAATTCAGATTGGATAAAATAGATGCATGACCAGCAAGAGTTTCGTGATTTTTTCAACGTGTTGCAGAATCTGACAATCCAAACATATCCAAACAACCAATTGAAGCACGTGCTTGAACTGAAATCCAACCAACATCCATTAGATTATCATGGCTACAGATCGACCCATTTTTTGTGGCTTCAAACTTTCAGGAGTACGTCTGGAGGGTCGAGGCAGGTGATGGCCCGGCGCTATCACGGAAACCAACATGTGCCATGGTTCATTCGCAATTTTTGGGTTGGGTAAAGGGAACATCTGCCAGTAACCAGGCTTTTTCCCGGTACACAAAGAGGTTTCCTGTGAATTTTCCCTTGATTCAATTCTGGAACATTTGATCTTCCAATGTTTTTTTTTCACCTTTTGGCATTCAGCATTGGTTTTCAATACGTCTAGTGGCATGATCATCTCCCAAGTACCGAGGGGTTAGCAAGTGTGATGAGGGATTCTTTCAGGCCAACATAGGGAGCAGGGTACCTTTATCAGCCTGGAAAGAGTCGATCCTTCACCCCCCGTGCACGGGCCTGTGCTGGAAGGCTATGTTGACGATGAGGAAAGAAGCGCTCCAAGTTGGCAGCTTAAAGTTCCAGTGCCAGTGACTAGTGTCGGGTGTTGCAGCGACTTTTGCGGACCGTACGGATTTAAGATGTTCCATATTTATCAGCCTTCCAGGTTTGTTGTTCACAGCATGTTGGACCTCGTGTTGCTCATTACTTATTTCACTTTTTGTGGGTAAACTATGGTAAACCTGACTACAACTGTTGATCAACTTCCAGTGAGCACGAAAACCCTTACCCAAAAAACTCGGTTTCACACAGCTGTTGATCACCCCAAGGGCTTCTAGGAATATCTTTTTGGTGCCATTCAGATTTTGATCCTGGCGACTTCCCAGCCATGGCACTGAGGATGTTGGAGCAACCGGGAGGCGGAGGAGCCGCGCAGCTTGTAGATCTGCCACGGAGTGGCCATGCCCATGGCGTCAGTTGATCATCCCAGCCGTGATGTCAGTTGACATGGCAGGGATGGTAAGATGCTAAGGTCAGATGGAAACAACCGGATGACGGAGATATGTGACACTTTACACGAACTTCACATCGATGTTCCTGCAGCCATTTGGGCTGGTGTTCCTGTTTCACTTCCATGACATTCCATGACCATTTCGAGTTCAAGTTCTGAGGCGAGCTCCGAAACTTCGGAGACTGGACCGTCTTCAGAAGATCCATCGGTCCGAAAACCTTGGTGCCGATGGTTGCCCCGATCGTACCTGCTGGTCTTGGTGATCAATGCCACTGCGACCCTTCTGCTGTGGCCTGCTGATGGTTGGGATCCCTGTCCACTCAAGTTTCGACTCTTCTTCTTTGGGCTGATGCTGTCGAGTTTGGGAGCCGGCTGCGTAGCAGCCTTTCTGGTGAGAAGGGCTGAAGCTTCAGATCATACAAAGTGGGCCTGTGGCTATGCCATCATCAACTGGATTCAAGCCATGTTGGGCTCACTGGGAATGGAAAATCCAGGGGCAGGGTACTGCAGGTATGGAGTGATACCAAGACGGGGTTGGGGCTCGGGAGGCGTCATTTGGTATTCTGCACTTGCCATGTGCCGATTGCTGCTGTATCTCGTTGCCGCTTTCTGGATGCAGACACTCGTCGCTTCACGGCTCGATCTCTTGGAGCAATCTTCCAATCGGAACTACGGCAGCAGCTGCTTTCGCGGGCTGATGTGGGCCCAAGTCTTTGGGGCAGCAGTGGCTCTGCTTCCCATTGCAGGCATAGTTTGTGATATGATTATGTGTGACAGCTGCAGCGATAGTATCATTTTCAATACAAGTGCCATGAGTCTGAGCGCAATAGGAGGCATCACATTGCTGTGCAATGCGGCAGCGAGCGTAGTGGCCATTTGCTCTTTCGGAAAGTCCTATTTGGAGCTGCGGAGGATTTGTCGCCTGGCAGAAGCCAATGAGGCGCCGATCTCCGCAAGATCTTCCTTGAGACAAGCCCGAAGCTTTGCTGGCTTGCAAGGGTCGGGTGTATCATTTGGCCTCGTGTTCACTCTTCTGCTTGTTCCAGCATGTCTTTTTTCATCTTTTTTCTATTGGTCTTGCAAACTATGACAGCTATGACGCTTTGAAGGTGGTCTTGTTTCTTATTCAAGCTTTTGATGCCCTGGGAAATGCTGTGGCCGTTCTCCTTCTGTCCGGCAGTCACAGGATGGCCAAAGTTGACAGGAGTCAGGGGAGCCAACGTAGCTGGAAAGTCGAAAAGTTTGAGCATAGCAGAAACCAACAGACTTCGCATGAAGATGTGAACTGGACCAGAAAGGTGGAAGAACTTTCAATGCGGGGGATGACTTTGCGGAGCCTCCTGCAGTTCTATCAAGAAAACCTCCCTTCAATGCCAGATTGGAAATATGCGCCCAGGGAACACAAGACCAGAGATGTGGTCCGAAGAGCGATCATCCCATTGACTAGCAGAGAAGAATGTGCATTCTCAGTTTCAGCTTTCAACAAGGATGGTCCGAAACGGGCACAGGTCATGGTGACCCACAATTGGGGCAACTCGTTCAGCGACCTGCTGGCTGCAGTGCTGTCGGATGCCCTGCAGGAATGCAGTTTCAGCTTGCCAGCAGAACTTCTGCAGGAGGATTGCGCTTTCCTACAGGACCTTCTGGCGAAAATGGGGCGGTTGGATGAGACGTACTGGATCTGTGCGTTTGCTGTGAACCAACACATCAGCATCTGCCACAGCAACCCGTATGACCGGGAGGATCCTTTCACAGATCAACTGCACCCAGTGTGCCAGTGCAACAGCACAAACATCATTGACTCGGATGGCCGAAGTGCTTCGTCAGAGATCAACAAGTTTGATGACATGATGCGTCTTCTTGCCACGACTGGGGGATGCCGACAAGTGATTGCAGTGGACAAACCTCTGGAGTTGTTTCAGCCTATCGCAAGAGCTGGATGTGACATCCGACCTGCTGTCAGCAAATGGTCCAAGGCGGTCGGTGGAACGGTGGCTAGCGGCAAAATAGCTGAAGCAACACCACCAAAGGATGCCATGGAAGTGGAGGTCACTCACAGTTCAAACGGTGAGGAAATGGATACTTCTGGTCAAGCCACCAAAAGGCAAACTGAAACCAAAGGTGCCTCTCCTGAAAAAAAGAGGGCCAAAGCTGTTTGTACGAATTTTGACACACCATTTGGATTCCAACGAGTTGACTGTGGAGGCAATGGTGATTGTGGTTACCGAGCCGCGGCGGCAGCTTATGCTCTTGCAGACGGCCGCGACCTCAAAGAGACCAAAGAAAATGCTCCAACCCTCGGGGCTACATTACGGGCTCAGGTAGCAAGCCATCTAAAAAAGCATCAGCTTTGGAAAGACTCATGGGCACCTGATGATAGATGGACAGAATCAACTGAAGGCGGCACAGTGCCTACCACCTATGATGAGTGGTTGGAAAGCACGGCTCGTCCAGGCCGGTGGGTTTGTGGCCCCACTCTCATCGGCATTGCCACCAGGCTTAAACGCAATCTTGTTGTTTTTCGTTTTGCGGATGACAAATGGGAAAAAGCCGACTTGATCACTCCACTCGAATCCAATGCCAAGGATGTTAGCACTGCTGCTTCCTTTCCACCTCGTCCTTTATTTCTGAAAGACAACCATTATTTCACATTGGAACCACGAGAAGAGGGCTGGCCTGCTACCTGGAGCTCGCCTGCAGATAAGAAATGGGATCCCAACCTGCATCGCGGTGGTGGCAAAAGCCTCCGTAGCTGGCTTCCGTCCAGTTCTGCCAGTGTTGCCAGCACGCAGTCCGCCAGTAGGACCGTGACTCAAAGCCAGCGTAAACAGAAAAGTCTCAAAAGTTGGCTCCCGGCTTCCAGCTCTGCCAAAAGCAGATCGCCAGCCATTGGGATAAATTTAAAAAGTTGGTTGCCGCAGTCAAGCTGCTCCACTTTGGCCAAAAGTTGCTTTCCTGCCACAAGAGAAGCATCACCTGCTCCGTCTCTTGCATTTTCGGATGATGCAGCTTTGCGCAAAGAAGATATTTCCAATAAAAACGTTGACTGTCACGACACTGACGCTGCCAAAGTTGCTTCCTCCTGGACCTGCCCTGAGTGTGGCTATTGCACAGAAAACCGGGTAGACTGGGTCAAACGCCGTCGGCAGCATATTGTTACTTGGCATCCTGACAAAAAGGATGACTGGAATCTCAGAAACAAGCCCTTATTAGTGCCGTGGACGCCCGATTGCACCTGGAAATGTCCGCTATGCAACATGGGCATGCCGCCCAACATCACTGATTGCGACACTTCCTATCGACTTCGAAAGGAACATGCTCAACAGCAACACCCAACTGCCAAGAGAAGCCGTTTTTTTCTTCCGACTCCCAACAATTCTGCCAAAGCTACGTTGGCCAAGATCAGTGCTGGCGTAGCCCAAAGGCTACTGGATTTGAAAGCAGGCAAGCAGGGTGACCATGATGTCATTTTCTTGAAGTTTCCTCCTTTCAAGGAAAAAGTCAAACGATTAACTGTGATCCATCCATTTTGCAAGAAGTGCTCCGCCACAGCGGTGTCCATTGCGCAAATTGCCAAAATCCCATGCAACGTTAGCCGACGCGGCGGCCCCGGTCGGCAGCTGTTGATTCGCCGTGTTCGTGCTGCTGTGAATGACGTCACTTTACCTGATGCTTTGAAAAAAGACCTGCAACATACTTTGTCGTGGATCGACGCTCCGTCCGGTCCTGCAGTTGACCACCAAATTGACAAATTCCCTTGGCCTTTGCCTTCGCCAGCGTCGTTGTACATTTGCAAAGTTTGCCGACAAGTCAACATTCGACGAGCTTCCATGACCAACACTAAATGTTGTGGCGAGCCTAAGCAAAGTCCGCGCCATGTGCAATTGCTGCGA